ACTCATATCTTTCACCTTTTCAAAAATTTGGTCACCTGTCAATGTAGGTGGAGCTCTATCATGTTCTGGATTTCCATTGAATGCCTTTTCTCCACCCACAGTAGTGATGATTTGAATTTAAGAATCTACGATGACCGAGAAATACATTCTTTTGACAAAATTCCAATCGCTGCCAATTAGTGTTTTCTTCACAAATAGGACATGCTTTTTTACCTTTAATGTTATACCCTGATAGATTTTCGTATGCCAGAAAATCATTAATTGTGCCAAATAACATATCCCTCAAATTGAAACTTTCTTTCCTATATCCATCATAAACCTCCACATCATTCTCCCATAAAATCTTTAAAACTTCGATTAAAGGTGTCAAGTATACGTCTATGTCATTCCCTGGTTGTTTAGGTCCAAAAATTAACATAGATAACATCGTGTACTTGCACTTCATACATAGCCATGGAGGTAGGTTAAAAATCATAATAATCACAGGCCATGTGGTATGTGAGATACTTTGAAGACCACGCGGGTTCATTCCATCAGTAGATAATGCCAAGCAAAGGTTTCTTGCTTCTCCTCTAAAATCAGGATAATCATTATCAATTTTCGACCACTGTGGTGAATCTTCCAGATATCGAAACTTTCCATCAATAATTCTTTCATCGGCATGCCAAGTCAAGTGTCTTACATCGGTTTCACTATAAAACATGTGTCTAAATCTTGGAATTATAGGAAAATACCATAAGACTTTTGTTGGAGACAATTTTTTCTTATATCGAGATAAACTACATTTAGGACACTCATTTAACGATGCATATTCATTTCGAAACAAAAAGAAAGCATTTGGACAAACATGTATCTTATCATAATTCATGCCAATAGAGCACAACATTTTTTTGGCCTCATAGGTTCGATTAGGAAGAACATTATCCTACAGAAGCATATCTTTCATAAGAACTAATAACTCTGAAACTTTTATCCGACCATCCATTGCCCATCTTTAAGTTGTACAACTTTAATACCGTAAACAGTCTTGTGAATTTAGTGCAACCTTTGTACAATGGTTTCTCTGTATTGTTTACCAACCTCTCAAACATTTTGGGACAATCTTGAGATCTTCTTCAAGTGCTTCTACAATCTCTTCGACACAATCACAATTGTATGTATCTGTGCCATTGTCTTCTGAAGCATATGTCGTACTATCCCCAAGTTCAACATTCCCGTTAATTTTCTCACCATGAAATATCGAACATGTATAAATTATATCAATTCCATTCCTCATAAAATGCGATTCCAACCTAATTGCGTCAACCCGACCCCCATAACAACAACCCAAGCAAGGACATTTCATTCGACTGGGGTTTTCAGCATGTTCAACAACAAACTTAACAAATTCTAATACCCCATTCTCGTACTCTTTTGAAAATCGATTGGAAGAAATCCATTTTTTATCCATGGTTTTAATACTAAGTAAGCTAAACAAAAACACTATAATTAATCATGCAGCTATAACAAAAGAACAACTAATTACCTGTAGAGAAGTCAGTAACTTCTAGAACCACACAATGTAAGATTCTTGGTACAATCAGAATTTCACTCACAACTTTATCTCTGGCCTAATAAAAAAAGAAAAACAAAACCAACATCATTTATTAGAAAATATTTCTGGCCTAAACAATCTGCCACTAAGGAAAACCTGGAAAAAAGGTCAAGCATATAAAGAAGGAGTGAACTGGTGGTCCTATTTTAAAAACAATATCTATTTTGAATTCTAAATTTCTACACACCCTTTTTGTAAGGATTTCACTTTTAGCATAACAATTGATCTTTAGTAACAACAAAATTAACTATCCATGTATGAATATACAAGCTGAATGAAGTTTCCTAGGTTCAAACTAGTTAGTGTGTTTCGAAAGGTCTTGTTAGGAGTGTAAAAACCCGGATGATGTCTAAATCTCATAGCGGATTAGTCTCCAATTGTGAGGTTTGAAATTTATGGGTGATTCACCATTTTCCCAAACAAAAGAACTCAAAAGATGGTGACGTTGGGTTATCACTACTTTATCTTATGCCTTAGTTTTGATGTTAAAACAATTACTTTGCTAGAAATGTCACTTGAAAACAGTGCAACAGCTGCAATGTTGCACACAATGATGAAGAAGGCATTTAATATTTTGTTTGAACCAACCTTTAACTACTTAACTTCTTGACTCAACAACTACGTTTTTTTTGTTATGAACTCATTATGTTATTTACTATAGTTTTACAACTTTGTCAATATTAAGTTATTTACTCTAATGTTACAGCCTTTTTAATATGACTATAATACTTTGGAATGTTGCACACTAAAGGTGCTTAGACATGTTTACATAGCAAGAAGAAAAAACAAGTCAGGAAAGATCTTTGAATTTTTCAGATACATGCAGATTAAATATGAGAAATGGTTAGAGGATCAAATCAAAGATATATGGTTCGGCTCATACAAGGCGTGGGTGAATATTTCAAAGTTCCAGAGACAAAACAAAAAGACCTCATCACCGGATTAATAGCCAAATTGAGAAACACCAAAGTCTAACAAGAAAGAAAGGGCTGGTCAGGGACTTTCAAAAGAATATGTATGCAGGAATCAAGCATAATATTAGAAAGGAAGGTAAGTCTCATGCATATGCAACTCGAATCAAGGACTTCACGCAGAAAAGTCAGGAGAAACTATCAAACAGACAGGAGTCGCACAAGGATCACAAACATGGAAGCAAGTTCAAAGAGAGTTCAGGAATGACCATTTCAATTAAGGAAAAAGAGATGGCATGGGTTAAAGGAGGCTACATTGGATTTGTTAGGAACACATAAGAACTAAATTTTCTACAACATTGAAACAACCGGCTGAAAATCATCAAACAATAAAGTCGCCATCGAACGTATTTTATCCCACATGAAGGGAAAGGTAAACATCGAGAAAACCTGAGAATGGAGAAGTCACGGTCTTGAGACTGGGAGATCGGGTAAAGGAGTCGGTTACGCGAGAGGAAGGTATTAGCACCCCATACGCCGTAGTACTCTACGGTATCCACTCGTATTGTCTATCTTATGGGTGTGTTTAATCTATGCTTTACTATTTACTACTACTAAAGGGAGAATGCATGCAAAAGAAAGGAGAAAATAATGTAGGGAAAATAAAGTTATACTCGCTTGGGCCCTACCCTAATGCCTACGTATCCTTTTTGAGGAATCAGAGCTACCGTAGTTCGACTCACATGTTTTGTTGTTTGTGTTTTTTATGGACAATGTTAATTCCGCCTTCTGCCGTAGCTCGACCTTTAAAGACTTATGCGTTGGCACAGAAGTAAATTAATCATGTCCTTACCTGAAAAGGGTTTTAGAGAAAAGGTGCTCAAGCGCACAAAATGGTTTGAGTTGGTTTGTATTTTTGTTACCTTGAAAAGGGTTTAAGTATGATTAACATGTTTTTGATTTGCTAAGAAAAGAAGTTTTAGTTTTAGATGCAAGGATGCAAAAAGGGGAAGAAAATAGTCTAAGGGAGACTAGCCTATTTCTAACATAATATTATCATACAATGGTAGTCCTACGTCAAGGGTGAAAGGGGAATTTCTACCTAATGTTAGCATGCATGGTCTGCAACCTAAGGTCTAACTTGCGTCCGAAAGGAGCAAGCACGTCTAAGGGGACATGGTGTGTACAAGGATAAAGCAAGAAAGCTAATAAGCTCAAGAGAGCACACATAGAGGGATCCTATCTAAGTTAGCATGCTAAAGAAAGTCTAATAAAACTATCCTATAGGGAACATGCAATGAGAGTGAAGTCGTGATCTCAATTTCTAAATTGAGTGACTCATAGATCAACAAGAAATAAAGGAAAGCAATAAAATCCTATAGGGAGCATGCACTGAGAACAAAGTCGTGATCTCAATTCTAAATTGAGTGACTCATTAATTAAAAATCAAATAAACAAACACAAACACAATATATATAGCAAATGAAGTGTGGAATGCCTGCTACAGGTCTTTAAACAGCGACTTCTAGTGCACGCTCTTTATTTCCTACTTCTCATGGTATCTATAAAAGCGGTAAAGAAATACGATAAAGCACGAAAATGAGGGATAAAATAAAGGTCACGATGATACCGAACGGACAAAGTTAGTTACCTCTTCAAAACCATGCAAGCGATAAGAAAACTCTACAGAAGCTGCTCCGCACGAGCGATCAAAAAATTAATCTCCAAGCATTCCCCATCACGAAAGTTACATCAGTATTCTAACGGAGAAGGTCTGTTGCCTCTTCAAAGCCCCGCAAGCGATAAGAAAAACTCTACAGAAGCTTAGCACAAGTGATCAAACAAACTAATCCTCAAACATTTCATACCACAAATTTTACAATCAACATTCTATCACAAAGCTAGCAAATCTCATGAAACATAAAGTCTATTTTTAGCATTCTCATGAACATAATCAAAAGCAATCACTCAACCATTTATTCGAGGATCAGGCCCTTCTAATTAATCATTCACAATGCAAAAAAAATTGATCGAAGAGAAGGAATCAACAAGACTACGTCAAAAATCCAATTCTAGCCACAATCCAACATTTAACCAAATTCATTCCTAAACTAATGGCAAAAAATATGGAAAAATATCATCAAGTCAAGGGCTAACATATTATCATACACAAAATTTCATCCAAAGATTGTGAAAGAAGGCATCAAAATTAATTGCTAAAATTTTAGAACACAAAAAGAAGTAAAGAACTAGCTAGCATGTATGTGGACTCAAACAGGAAGTGTGAATAGAGAGTCCAATGGCTTCAGAGACCCAAACAAAGTCCAACTAAAATCCAGTTTTCATTTCTACAATTCACACTCTTGTTTTTATCTTTTAATTATATTTTTTTATAATTAAAAAAAAAAAGGAATTAAGAGATAAATGTTGAAAAGAAATGGTGTGTTTGGATACAGAAAGGTTAGGGTTGTAGATTGAGACGGTTCATCTCCAACATGAAAACGCATGGGGCTTCTCCTTCGGATCTCTTGCGCGACTCCCAGCGGTCGTCTTCGCTCAGTCTGCAATTTCGGTTTCAACCTTGCTTCTCCTTCGTCATCATGCCGTCTCGATCCTTGCTGCGGATTCGAACATCTCCGCCTCACCTCATCGGTTTCACCGAC